CCGTCGGCAGCGCTGTACGGGGCACAATACACATCAAGACCTTCATATCCAGAAGTACTTCGAGCCGCCCTGTCCCATCGGCTCAGGTCCGTGGGTACTTTACCGCCGTGCCAGGCTGGTTTGGACTGAGTGGCCACCTAAATGCTTGATCATTTGATTTAGGCACAGATTGCTACGTTTGTTGACACTCCTTTGATAGACAGTGGGTATGTTCAGTATCTGAGATGTATCACGTTCTGGGCCACTGTCCAGCCATCGGTAAACCGTTGTCACCGTGCCGGAGGTACCGCCGTGGTGACGTCACGTGTGTTTTGACTAGAGGTGGCAAAAGATGAAAATTTTGGGAACCAGACTCGAAACGAACCAGACCCGGCTGGACATTTCTGGGACCAGTCGGACCCGGTCTTAGTTGGAATCGCGGAACCAGTTGGACCCGTTCCCCAAAAGTCAATTAATACAAACTACTTTTAGGTATCATTAGTTGCATTATGTAAAACAGCCTACTTCCCACTGGGAATACTCATGAGCTACTGTGTGCAAAGAAACATTCACTTCATTCGCTTAATATTTTGCAATAGTGTGTGGTGCGCAAGATGTATAGTTTATGGTAGGACCCGGTTGGACCCGTCAGAAAATTTCCAGGAACCGGTCTGTTGGACCTGGTCCTCGGGTCCACATTTTGCCACCTCTAGTTTTGACATGACGTCACGCTGGCTCACACCGCTGTGCTGTTGTGTTGTAGTTTCAGTTTAGACCAGAGTTTCGTTGGAGCTAGCTGTGAGGGTGTCCGGTCCGGGCGATATCGGACCTCGCCCGTCACTGTGTCGGACCGTCGGTGGTCCGGTCGGCTGTGGTTGGTTTGGACCGGATATGTCCGGTTCGGTGTCGTTCATGGGATATTACGGGCTGATGGCGATTGAAATACACAGTGGTTCAGACGTTCAATACACAATATTACTGGATTTCCAAGCGCCACTATGTAGTGCCGTTATTTCGGGACGGTAACTCGTCAAAGGGACTGTAAGGCTTCTGACCATTATGCAATGCTTTGAACATAGCATTCCATAATGTCATACGAAGTTTTGATAAAAAGAAGTCACTTACTTGAAGTGTCGTGGAGCTCTGATGTCGGATGCTTCATAAAAAATGCGTGCAACTTCAGATTGCCTAGTATAAGTGTTCCGTGAAGATTAAGCCAAACCCAGAGACGTTATCAGCAAAAAGAAAAATCAGGTCATTTCCAGGAAACGTATCCCTCAGGGGACGGGGGAATCATACTTTTTACCCAAACCACCAGCCCAGCACTTCAGTTGACTGAGCCGTAAGGCTATACTGATTATCACACATGAAGTGTGTCTATGGTGATCAATGTGTCACCCAGCCGATGCAGTGCGGCACAGCCTACCACTGCAGGCAGCTGATTGCCCGCTGAGAAACGGTGCATCGTTCTGCCGTCAACTGTAGACTGTACAGTGTGTATTAGTTATATTACAGCTGTATGGACACAGCACGGGTGCGGATCCGGGACACCACACCATCGACTGGTGGATACAGGACACGGTCTAGTATCCAGCGGTGCGATATCGCCGGTGGTCGTTATTTCTTTTAGAAGGCTGGATACCGCCAGTGGACACTATTTCTTTTAGAAGGCTGGATGTCGCCAGTGGCCACTATTATTTTACTCAAGACTGGATATCGCCAGTGGCCATTATCACTTTTAGAAGGCTGGATGTCGCCAGTGGCCATATCACATACATAGAGGGGTCCAATAGGGCCTTTCGGTTGGTTTACTAACCTCTAAAACGTGGTGAATATTGACGTAACGTTTATCACTCAGTTCTAATCAATACCCTTACCTGAAAACGTTCGTGGTCCGATCATTGACCTTGGAAGTTTTGCATTGTTTAACCCGCGCCGGGCCGGGGGGGGGGTGTTTGAACACCCCCCTGCGGTTCTTCGCAGATATATCAAAAACGGCGGCTCGGAGCGCCGCCGTTTTTGGCATACCTGTTCATGCATCTTTTCCGCACATCTTGTGAAAAAAAAATTCAGACCCAGGGCTCTCAACGTCAGGTCACCAGGTCAGGTCAGGTCAAGTGACCTCACCTCAGGAAAAGTTTCAATCCTCGTCATAGCTACAGCGACTGAAGGATCGCCTTGAAACTTTCAGCGATTGATAAGAGTAACAGTATGTACAAAATGTTTAGATATCTCGGAATTTCGATATCGGTGACCTAAGGTCAGGTCAATTTTGCGACCTCTCCATCATACTCTGTAACAAATATTCAGTACACTATGGCATGAAAATCAATCAAGCGAAAACGTTCATGGCACCAAAATAGCTTTGCAGGACATCCGGCCAGTTCAGATTAAATTTGGACAGTCGATAATTTCTGAAAGCCGCACAGTTAAAAATCTCGGCCTCACTATGGACCGACATCTGACGTTCGGGGATGATGTTAGCCAGCTGGTTGGCAAATGTACCTACCGGTCTTTTGAGTTCGCTGTCCTATTCCAAGCATGTCACACGTGCCTGGACCGTTGCTTACATTGTGAACGCGCTTGTGGCTAGCTCTATTCGCTACTGCATCTCCATCTACGGGTCCTGTGGTAAAACAGAAAAACACCACAATCAGAAACTGTTCAATTTCTGAGCTCGTGTTGTGAGCGGCCGGCACAAATTTGATCACATTTCTGACGTGTTTCATCAACTCGGGTGGTTACACGCTGAGCTGCTTGTGAGCTACCATAGCACGCGCACCGACGGGGGGGGCGGATATCCGCCCACTGAGGTTTTTCGCGGATAGCGGGAAAACCGCGGCGTGTAGCGCCGCGAAATTTAGTACGACTATTCTCTCATCAATTTTACACTAGAGGTGTCAATCGGAACCGAAAATTTTGGAATTCCGAAAATTTCCGAATTCCGATTCGGAAATCGGACGGACAAGTGACAAACACATTGGACATATTCGGAAAACTAGTTGAAATTTACAAATTTCTTAAAAAAGTTGAAGTTCAAACTTATTTCCATCATCAATATGCAAATTGCAAAACATGTTATAAAAATTGGCAGGGGATAGGTGTTTTATACATCATTCATAATTATAGTGCAAGATGAACATTAACGTGATTGCATGTAGCGGGTAGCTCTAAGTCAAATAAGGTACATACCTACCTATACTGTGCCAACTTTTAACTCTAAATTTGAAAATGTGTTTGCAAATGGCAATTGCCAATAGATGACATTATTGTCAGCAAGCCCATCATGAGATAACACAGTTATGAATACCTATGATGTACAATCATAGACGTGTGGGAAGCACTAGACACCAAAGCAGTAAAGTAGGGAATCCAAAAATCAGTCGGGGAAACTGTGGTCAAATCTTCCATTTTTAGAAAGCCTTCCATTTTTGGAAGGATTTTCTATATATGGGTACGCACCTTCCAAAAATGGGTACGCTGACGACGTCATCGTACCCAAATATAGAAAATGGTGCGCATATGTTGGAACTTACCGATTTCCGCCGAACATGAGGCAAATGCGACTATCGCCCCTGGTCGCTTTCTATTCGCCATAGTGAAGTGTCCATAATCTAGCGTGGATGCCTAAATCCTAGCGTGGATGTATTTTAGGTAATTTTTCAAAGTAATGAGTCGTGGAAAATTGACAAAAATTTACCGACAAACGATGGTTTTATAAGACTTTATCAAACATTTTGTAAGCAAAAAGCATCAAAAACGAAAAGTAAATATCCTTAAAAGTACTTTAGTGACGGGCCATGCTTGTTCGATACCGCCGACTTTATTTACAGTGCGGAATTGTCTGGACAGAGTGCGGCGGTTTCGGGAGTGTAGTGGCGAGTAAAACTTGTATTTGTTGCCGTTTTCTGCATTTATTAGCATATTGTGTGGTTGATTTCAATTTTTTAAGGCTTTTGCCAAACATTTGGGTGGAGGTCTCGTCATTTTTCAATGTTTTTTCCGGAATATGGGACAAATTAAATAGGCGTTGCTGCGCCGTTTTCCGTGTTACTTTCTATCGAAGGAGCATGAATCTTCAATTTATATGAGGAATAGTAAGTTTAATTTAAACCATTTTTTGTCAGGGCTATAGCTGTGTTCCTCCTGGTTGGTTATTGACCAGCTGTTTTCTCTTCTGAATTTCTATGTGTCCTCTAGAAGTAGAAAAAGAGAGCAGTGCGCCAGGACACCATGCTATTATATCACTATGTACATTGACATAGCATGCCTGTATTACCAACACTAGCACTGCTGCTTCTCCTTATATCAATGATCATAAATGGCAAAATCAACTATTAATGTTACACATTTAAAAAGGCCGTAACTTAAATCAAAGAATGTGAATCGCAGTTGGGAACACTGAGATTAGACCTTCCAATTTTGGAAGCCTTCCATTTTTGGAAAATGCATACCCATTTATGGAAGGTCCTTCCAAAAATGGAAGGCTTCCAAAAATAGAAGATTTGACCACAGTTTCCCCCACTGAAATAGATTTGCCTTACTTGAAAGTTAACAGAAAAGAGACTGAAGAAAATTGCAAATATCAAGGTGTGCAAAGTAGCACAAGAGTCTTACCTAGAACCTCCTATCATAAAGTCATCCCCTTCTCTTCTACCTCTTCCCCCCCAAAAAAACTCCGTGCCGAAATATCGACTAAAATGCTACATATTATGCAAACAGCCTATCAATAAACAGATTACCAAAAGATGATGAAATGCGGCGAAAGCGTCATAAATGTCACTTAAGGAAAGATGGCCCCCCGATGAGAATCAGAGGAGACAAAAAAAATGACGTCTTAAACAATAAATACAGTCATTTTGCTTCACAATTGAATAATTTTCGAAAAATTATATTCCTTTGCAATAAATATTGAATTTTAATCAAACAACAAATGGTGAATGCACTTCAATAGGACAAATGAAATGATAATGACGTCATATTATTGATTTACTTTCACATCATCGACTCAAGGCCGGATA